TACGAAGTTATTACGTCCCACGGGCCACCGCGCCGGATACGCAGCCGTCATGCCGGCCTCAGGGAGGTCCGGAGTCGCTCCTTGGACTGTCCTGTGCCCGTCCGCCCTCACCTGGGGGCCAGCCCCTGCCTATCTCGAGCTCTACACCCGCCCAGGACCCCGGGCAGCCACACCCGCACCTCCAGCGCACTGACTCCTGTCCCCAAACCGGTCTTGCAGGTCCCAGGAAGGTGGCGTCAGCATCTGCAGCCTCGTTGACGTTGTTGGAGCCTCCGGGGAGGACCCAGGAGAGCCGGACTAGGACCAGGGCCCTTAGTCTCCCCACACTCCCCATGGAGAAGCCAGAGGCCTCAACAGAGCCCCAAGGGCTTCGGCCAGTCCTGGGCCGTGAGAGTGTCCAGGTGCCCGATGACCAGGACTTCCGCAGTTTTCGGTCGGAGTGTGAGGCGGACGTGGGCTGGAACCTGACCTACAGCAAGGCCGGCGTGTCTGTGTGGGTGCACGCTGTGGAGATGGATCGGACACTGCACAAGATCAAGGTAGGGTTGCCCTACCATACCTGTTGCCTCCACTGTACCCCGACTGCCTCTCACATGGAATATCCTGGTCTCCCTCAGGGCCATAGACACCTGGTTATGCATCTGGGCCCAGAGTCTCCTACCAAGAACAGGGAGAAGGCACAGACTGCTGGCCAAGCCCCCATCACACAGATGGCCCAATGAGGCCTGGAGAGGGGGTGTGACTCTGGCTCTCTCAGCTGGCAACCAGGCTTCTGCATGCCCCTGTCTGCCCCAGGGAGCTGGGCTGCTGCCAGGCCCATCTTGGAGAGTGGTCTCCCTCAGGGACCCCTTACCGGGGAAGCCTTCACCTAGTCCCTGACTCGAGTCACCTGAGGTGGGAGACAGAGCCCCTCTCTTCGTAATTCCTGGTTCTCTTAGCCTGAGCTGAGTCTCCTTCCACACTCTCTGCACCCTTGGGTGCCAAAGACCTGATTCCTTTCTGCCTGCTGCCTGCTCTTCCCCTTCCCTCCCTGGCTGCTCCCTAATCTCCTGCAGGGACTCAGTATTGTGGCTGGCAGATCCTGAAGGTAGGGCTTGGATGTCCCTGCCTTGTACAGGGCCAGGTTGGGGTTGGGCTAGGACAGGGGGGCCTAGGGTCAAGGGAGACCCACACAACGGGCAGTTACAGACACATCAGCCCCTCACAGCTATCTCCCCGACTCCTCACAACCCTGTGATTCTCTTCTTTGCCATGATAGGGCAGGTTTGGGATTTGGGACCCCATGAATGCACTTCCCCTGGGGGACTAGATGGGGCAGAGGTTGGTGAAGACTTTGGTCTAGGGGCCTCAGTAGCTGCCCACAACACATCTGGCATTGCTGTGAAGGCCACATTTTGAGGATGGTAGTTCTCTCTTCAGTGGGCTTCTGGAAGTAGGCTGTGTCGTTCACCTCCCTTGCCTTCCTCTCCCTTCTGCTGTCCTAGAATGTGTGGAGGAACACATTCCTGTTGCAAGGGGTAGGGAACTGGGCTCAGAGAGCCCCCCACCACCTGCCTGGGACCTGGTCTCAGGCTTAGCTCGGGCATCTTGGCCTCCCACCGGGGCATGAGATGTCTGACCTTTCCCCTCTGACCCTGTGCCTTTCTGCCTCACTTTGTTTTAATCATTTACAGCTTTGTCCATCTCTTCTCAGGTGATCTTCTGGTTCACCCTTCCTGCCATCCCTTCTCCCCTGTATGATTCTCTGTCTGCACCCTGGCTATCTGACTATTTCTTTCCCTCTGGGTTTCCATGTGTCTTCCCCTCTGAGACTCTCTGCCCACACCAGAGGACCCTTACCTGTGTCTGAGCCTGAGGAACAGGGAAGGGGAGGGTGGCTGGTATGTTCCAACTTGGTGCTTACTGAGGGCAGCAACAGGTCCTATTCTCTTTGCATCCCCAGTCTCCAGCACAAACAGAGTAGGGATGAAGGAAGGAGGAAAGAAGGCTCGGAGAGCCTGACCTGGGGAAGGCTTAAGGCTGGTGGTGCACAGTGAGGTGGGAGGTTTAGTTTCCCCATTGAGCTGGCTTTCCAGAAGGGAGGGGAGGGGAAGGTCTGAATGGAGTCCAGTACTCCCACCCTCTGTGTCAACAGGGCGGAGCTGCCACCTCCATCTGGCTTGGTTAATGATAAACGCAGCCCAGCCCAGGACTGGAGTTGGCAGATTTGGGGGCCAGTTTGCAAAATAGACCCCTTGTGGTCAGATCAGACTTGTCAGGTAGTCTTCCTTGATGGTGGAGAGGACTAGGAAAAACTGGATGATGTTGAAGACTTCTGAGCAGGGCATACACCCTCCCTGGCAGTGAGGACCCCAACTCTTCTTCCTTCTCAGGTTGGAAGTACCAAAGGGCCCTTTGCTATCCCTGTTTTATACACCCCTCCCCCCACACCAGGGTGCAGTCAAGGATATGAGACCCAGAGAGAGGCAGGAGCCAGCCCAGGGTCACACAGCCGAGTCCCAGCAGAGCCGGGCCTTGATCTCAGATCTCCAGCCTCCCAGCCTAGTCCTCTCTGTTTTACTGTTCTCCCAGTGCTGCCCCCTAACTCTGCTGCCCACAATGGAGAGAGGGTTGGGCCCAGGAGGTGAGCAGAGCCTGGGCCAGGGAGGAGGCTGGGACCTTGGTTATGGGCATCCCGAGGAGCCAGCTCTCCACTCGTGGTCCTCTCAGCACAGCCAGATGGAGCTCTGGAGATGGACAGAGGCTTCTGAACTTCCCATCCCCAAGATTCCAGAACTCCCAGGTTCCATGCAGCTAATCCTATTTAAAAGTCCCTGCTCTGAGCCAAGCATTTCTCTCCATCATTTAGTTTACCTCGGGCCAATTCTGGGCAGTCGTGGACCTGTCTTCATGTTACAAACAAAGAGACTGAGGCTGCAAGAGGTGATGTCACTTGCCTGAGGTCACACAGGAGCTGAGGCAAGAGTGGAGCCCAGGCCAGCCTCTCTGCAGAGGCTCACCTACTTAGTCACCATCATGACCTTTAACCCCATCAACAACTCTTTGAAGCACTGAAGGACGCGGTGTTCTCATCATCCCATTCTTGTTTGATAGATGAAAAGCTGAGGCCCACAGAGGGGCATGGCTTGCCAAGGTCACACAGCAAGTCTTCAGCCAGAGTTCCCAGGGATGATTGGGTCACTCCAGGAGGCTGGGACTCAACTGCAGGTGTTTGTTGAGCTTCTGCTCACCCCCCCTCCTCTCTCCTGCCCCAGCCTGCTCTGGGCCTGTCCCCAGATCTGGGACATATAGCTGCCCCCCAGACCTACCCTGTGCTTACAATCCCAGGGTGGGATGGGGCTCCACCTATCTGTTTATCTACCTGATTAATTTCCTTCTCCTCATCTCCCTTCCCCCTTCCCCTGTGTCCAGAGGTCTTTGGAAGCCACTGTGTCTTAGGACCCAGCAGTAAGAGCCAGGACAAAGGGGCTGTTGGAGGCCACCTCTACCCTTTACCTCCCTCCTGGCTTCCAGCCTGGCCTGGCCTCAGGCTTATACTGTGCTCTGGATACTGGAGAGTAGAATTCAAGCTCTATCCCAGAGGCAGATGCTGAACATGGATCCTGGGTACAAGGCAGAAGGCAGCTTGGAACCTGAACTCAGCTCTCTTGATGCCCAGGCCAGGCTTTCCCACGGCACCCGTAGTGGTGTGAGAAATGGGAAACCAGGAGGTTCAGCTAGCCATTCAACCAAGGCTAGCTGGGGTCCAGTCCTGGCTGTGCTGTCTTCTTGCTATGTGTGTGACCTTAGGCACGTCTCTGCCCCTCTCTGGGCTGTTTGTCCATCTGTGCCATTGGGCACTCCTGGCTCCAAGAGCCTCTGAACTCAGCATCTGGGCTGGGGCCCGTTGGGGAGAGGTGGGGAGCAGGGGGACAAACAACAGATGACATGGTCTGCCCAGCCCTGCCCCATCTCATGTGCTCAGGTTCCCCTGATGCCTGCTGCATGTCGAGCCTTGCACATGGCTAGCCATGTGAGAGGCAGAGGAGGAAACCCGGACCCTTCCTCAGAGGTTTCCAGACACTGGTGGAGACAGGATAGACAATTCCAGGTGACCCCCTGCCTGCTGCACAGGCAGAGGCAGGAGTGGGGCCTGGGCCTGCAACAGGAGTGGACTGGGTGGGCAGGGGCCTTGAAGGGTTTAGTGCCGAAGCAGGTGTGGGAGGTCTCTTGGGGAAGTGTGGCCGAGAACCTGAGGTTCCTCTTGCCACAGGAAGCTGGGCAACTGGGGACTTGTCTCCTCTAACTTCCTGTCCTGCGGCTCCTCCCCTTCCCCTTTGGAGAAAGCTCCTGTGGCCCCTCCCAGCCCTGTCTTACTTCCCACCTGCCCCCACTCCATGGGCCCCCTGGGTTCTAAGCTTTCAAGCTCAGGTCTGTCCCCCGTCAATGCCTTGTTCTCTTCTCCATGAAATGTGGGATCACTCAAAGGTCTCCAAGGGCCCTTTTCATTCTTAACAATTTGTGGGACTCAAAAGGGTCATGAGAGAGGTGGGGGCAGGTGCTTTCTTTATGTCTTCTCACTGAGTCTTTATGGCTGTCCTGTGGGGTAGGTCTCATTAAGCCTATCAAGCAGATGTGGAAACTGAGGCTCAGAACAGGAATTCACCTGTGCAAGGCCAAACAGCTAGAAATGGCTGAAGCTGGATCAGAACCAGGTCCTTGGTCAGCAAGGCTGAGATTGCTCTACTCTCTGGTTATTAGCACTATTGGGCCCCATCTCTGGGACTCCATGGCTCACAATTTATCCTCCTTCCTGGGTCTCCCTGTGCTGTGTCATTGTGTGAGGGCACCCTGGAGGAGACCCAGCTGGGCAAGAGCCCAGTCCTTTCTAGGTGACTTTGGGGGTCACTTCACCTTTCTGGGTCAGTGTTCTTATCTGTGGTGGCAGGGGCAGGAGTTGATCTGGTTTTAGGACCTTGGACTGGGTAAGTTCAGGTCCAGACTTGGACTTTGCCCCCTTTGGGACTCAGCTTCACCATCTCTACAGAAAGTTGCTGGGAAGATGGTTTGTAGAGGTTGACCTAACCTTAGGCCTGGGTAGGGGAAACTGCACTGATGGACACAGTAGTAAGGATGTATGGCTAAGGCCTTGCCAGTCTGTGCCATCAGAGAGGTCTCTAGATGGGGACCCCGAATCCAGGATTAGGCCCTGAGGACCCCTGCTCTGGCTGGCTCTAGCTCTGACTTGACATGAGGGCAACTGAAAGATGTAGCTCCAGAGCTATCCTCAGGGAAAAGGCTCCCAGAGAGCATGACCCCAGGTAGTCAGTGTCCAGGCTTTAGGGTGGGGGAGCTCAGAGAAGGGAAAAATCAGAGGTGGCTGGAGGTGTTAGGGAAGTCTTCCTGCAGGAGGTGCCTGGGTTGGGTTGAGGCTATAGGGGAGAGAGCACAGAATCCAGAGTCCTGGCTCTGTGGCCCCAGGCAGGTAGCCCCTGCCTAAGTTTCAGCTTCCTTGTCTGTCACATGTGGGTAGTAGTGCTGCCCTGCCTATCCTTGGGTA